TAATGGCTTCCTATCGGCCACCACAAGCCTTCGAACACGCCGCGCAACACCGCCGATAAATAGGCGAGTTTATTTTGCACCTGGTTAACCCGATGCGTCTCGCGCGCCCATGGTATTTTCTTAACGTGTTTGTCGTCCCGGTTTTAAATATACAAACAAGCGAGTGAGAGAGAGGATCGATATACACAAGGGGTGTACACGCGCGAAGATAAACGTCGAGCGTTAAATGGGAGGGAAAGAGAGAGAGAGAGAGAGACTATAGCGTCCATTAATAGGCAGAGTTCTCCTCTTAACGGTCCCTTTTTCCGCGCATTGTGTCTCGCTAAGATGACCGTCGATCGAATGGAACCTGCATACTCTCGTACCCACTTTTTTTTCTTTTTTTCGCTTCGTTATTTACGACGGATACGCGACCCATTTGAAAGCGATAAGAGAAGGAGGATTCTTTACTACGAAGATTTAAAGACGTATTGTAAAACGCTTGGAGGATAAATTGTGGAACATGGAGCATCGAGTTAGGACCTTTTTCGACCGAGTTTTCCCTTCCCTTTTTTTCCCAAGGACACTGACTCTTCGCATTGACACGGTGACCCGACCGTTCCCCTTCCCTCCCTCCTGCTCCATTGTAAACGTCTTTCCATCTCGAGATTTACCATCATCGTAAATTACCCACCGACCGACCTACCGTCTTCCTCTCTAACGAGGAGACGACTCAATAAGGGTTGGTTTTTTTCCAAGTGGAACGACGGAGTAATCAGACGGGGCTACCAATTGTAGTACCAAGGGGAAGAAGCCAGCCGCAAGAAATGGCCATCCTTTTGTCCCATCGATCGGGATTCGCCGTCCTCCGAGGACAAATTTCGACGACACACTGACCTCGTCAACGGCCCAGGTACGGCCCCTGCAGGCTATAACCCCGAATCCGTTACCTTCCCCGGGGGTAACGAGGATTTACGGGGAGTCGTGAAGCGTTAAAAAATGGTCGGCGCGGTTTATAAATTTTCGCTCGACGGGGGCGGTTTTATTCGCGCAACGAGCACGAGTTGGTGCGTCGTCGTCGCTGAAAAACACGCGAAAGTAGGAATGAAAGTTTGCGGCGGGACAAGGGAACGCGAAACTTTTCACGAGCCGCCTCTTATTCCGGTGTCGCAACAACGACTTGTGGATGTTGTACTGGGTATCTGGGAAACTTGGCGAACGGAGTTTCGACGACGTTTCCTTCTTTCATAAATAAGAATGAGCTTAGACTACTCCAGCGTATTTGTCTGGCGAAGCGACAAGCGGAAACGAGGAGGCGCATAGGCGGTAAGGTAACTAGATTTCGATTATTTGTGTTCGCGATATCTGTCGAGTTGCCTCGTCTGATCGCTTGTGATTTTTCGAAACACCGTCCCCGAGTTGTTGAAATTATTTCATTCTACGGTACGTAAAGTTCTTTTCTTCTTTTTTGGCTTAGGAAAAAATTAACCGAGATTAATCGTTCAACGATTGCGATGTTACAAGGAATCCTTTCCTTTGTCATCCAAATTCTTAAAAATATTCCATTATTCTGCCAAATAATAATCGTAATCATAAAAGGTTCGAAGAAACTCTCATAAAAAGGAAAAAGAATCCTCGATATCTTCCATCATCCGCGAATTCCATTCACCAACGTCCCGTTTCCCATTCATCTCCCTAAATACTTAAAAACCCGTTCGGTTGCCATCTAATTTCCTCCCGTCATTACCTCCCTTTCCCGGCGAGCCATCCGACATCAATTACCGTGCCAGGTCGTCGCGCAACATCCTCGAAACGCCGCCGCTTCCGTCCGCGCAAGGGAACAAGAAAGGAAATCATCGCTCGTGAGGAGCAAAACGTCATCGTCACGCCGATTTTTTCCCCCCTTAATGAAGCTGTCCTCCCCTGGCCAGCCTGCGAAACTGCGAGAGGCAGTTTCACGACCACCCGTTTCTCGCCTTCCACGCAATTACAATAAACCGGAGGCTGCCGACCGACAGCCACCGTCTGTGCGAGGCTCTTCTTCTCCGCGCCGCCTTTCCCCTTCCCATTCTCCCCCTGCTCAACAACCGACGTGTTCTCGGATATATAAGCTAGACACCGGTCGCGGCCAGGTCGAGGCTTAAATTAAATCCGGCTAATGTAACCGTGGGGTATATTAGATCTCTCGTCTGCGGCCGCGTGTCCCCCCTCCGTCGCGTGCGAAGGACGGAGGGTGAAGAGGATTGAAGGAGCGCGGAGGAAAGCTGTGATCTCTGGGGGTTGGTTACGTTCGAGGCGAGAATCGAGTCGACGAGCGTAATTCTTTTCATCGAGAGGATTCTTTGTGGAGGAGTCAATCTCTCGACGCGATTAACGCGTCGAGGGAGGTTGAGTAAATAAGTTCTCCACGTTTTCGAATTGTCGAAAGCTACTGGTGCTTGTACCCCCTCGGCTAATTTCTCGGCTTTGTTGCTTTGTATACGATCGCGCCTCGTGTCGCGCGCATACAGCTACGAGGTATACTTCTTGGACGAGGCCAGGATGGAGAGAGAGAGAGAGAGAGAGGGAGGGGAGGGGAGAAAGGGTCGAAAGGACGAGAGCGAAGTGAACGAAACGCGGGGATGAAGGGGCATCAAAGGGAATCCGACGAAGGCGGAGACGTTGTCTCTCCCGGCATCGGATGATCGAATCGCTAATTAGCCTTCGCTCTCCTGGCCGACGAACTCTTTGAGCGCTCCTCGACCTCCTCGCGCCACCCGCTAATACATTCGGATCGAGTAAATCCACTTTAAGGCTCGTCGCGCCGCGCAATTTCTCCCACGGAGCGAGGTTGTCTGAAACGATTAATCGTGTTTATTTCGCGATCGACGGGGCAGCGAGGGAACCCGATCATCGGTTTCTAAACTTCGAGAGCCGAGGTTGGTCTACCGTGAAATCATCCGATTTCATCTTGCGTAAAGGTTCGTCTCATCTCGGTAATTATTTCGTTCGTGCGAAGAAGAAGATTCGTTGTGTTTCTTTTTTAAGGTGTAAATAATCATATCGAGATAAAAGTCGATATTTTGTATCTTGATCGAGGTCAAGTTTTAAATTATTTTAAAACGAGTTTTAATCGATCGAAATAATAGGACGCCTAACGATCGTATTTTCAAGAGCTAGAAGTCGTTGAATTCGTTTTATATCCAGTTTATATAACTTCAACAGAAATCTTTACCATAAATTGATAAATTGATTCCAACCAAGATATTGTCTCGTCCATAACGCGAAGCCTTCCATGCTTTCGACGACTATACGATACTATACGATAACGAACTATAAACTACTTTCAATATAGTTACAAACAAAGGTTTATGAATTTCGTGCTACGTGGCAGGAAAATGGTCTCGGAATGGTGACGTTAATTATCGAACCGTGAACGATCGGGCGCGATAACGAGCCCGAACGAAAGACGTTGAGCTCGTCGAGGATGATAAGTCATAAAGCCGCTTCGTGCGGGCTGCTATCGATTCTTAATACTTGTCAGGTTGTTATACTCTCTTGCGGAAGGGATTCCACGGTGTACTCTGGGGCGCCATAAACATTAATCCGAATCTGGACGACTCTCTCTCTCTCTCTCTCTCTCTTTCTCTTCCTCTCTCCCCTCACTCACGATCGAACGAGTCGAACCTCGAAAGTGACAAGACACAATATCTCACAATTCGCGCGATTTTATGGGCCTTTAGGGGTCGGATAACGATAAATTCTAGTGAACGATGACGCCTCGAGAATTGATCGGTCAGAGATTAAGAATACCGGCTCGAATCGGTCGACTAATATCGCCTCGTCCTTTTTTCACTCGCGCACTCCGCTCTACTTTAAAATACATTGTTGTTCTCGTTGTATAAATATAATAAACTCGATATCGCTCGATTTCCATTCGTTTACCATAACCGGCCGATACCTTCTGTTTTTTCGCCCGGAGATTACAAATCGATTGAAATCTATTACCCATTTATATTAAACTCGTAAACATTATATAAAACGGCTACCAAACGTACCAAGCGTATATCCACGTATTTTAAATTTCCCAAACATTGGCCTTGGATACCGTACGCCATTACCTCTTCCCCGCAAACCACAATCTCCGATATATCAGTTACAGCTACAATTACAAGCATCGACGCGCGTCGACATTAGACGGAAGCATAGCGCCGGCCACTCACCCACCCACCCACCCGCCATTCCATCGAGGATTCAATCGAGGAAACGTATGCGCGTCGTCAGCGCCGACAGCCGGTCAACCGGCCCGATTCGACCCGTTTAATCTCAATGGGGCGAAGTTGGCCGCAGATCGATCGATCCCCCTGCCTGCCTGCCTGCCTGCCTGCCTGCCTCCCTCCTCCTCCCTATTCGCCGATCGAAACGCGAAAATCCGCGAACCATCCGCGTGGCGAAGCGTGCCACGAAGGCGTGCGTACCGCACGCGACGTAAGTCCACGCTCGGGCCGCTTAATTAAGCGTGCGCGAGTGTACGCGTCGCACAACCACCGCCATCACCACCACCTGCCTCCCCCTCCCTCCGCTCGAGCGTGGGGTGGAAAAAAGATCAATAAAATCCCTAGTCTACGGGCGACCGCATTCATCGGCCACCCCATTTCTACAACATATTTTGCAACCTCCACCTTCCCTCCCCCTCTCCTACCACCACGCTCGGCCACCCTCCTAGGCCGCCCCACGTGCTCGTTCCACCCCCACCAACCGCGACTCGCCACGGGGAGGGGGGCAGAGGCCTCCGTACCCGTGAGCGGGTTTGCCGGAGCGCCGCCAGGTGGCGGTGGAGCGCGAGGAAGGGAGATCGAACGAGAGCGGACTCGTGCGCTCCTCTCCGATCGAGAGAGAAACAACCGTGGCGCGGCCCCTCGCCCCCCCCTCCGCCTCGGCCGCCCGCCTCGCTCCTTCGAGCGAGCCGAGGCTCTCGTCAGCCTGTCAGTTAGTGCCGTGGCGCCGTGACGGTACGGTTGTTGTGCTTGGTACACGTTGTTTTCGTCCTCCCTCCCCCTCCCCCTCTTCGCACCGGTTCGCGAAACGTGTGCCGCTTGGGATATTGAATGGGGGAGACTGGTTCCGACCCATCACAGCTACGGCCACTGTTGCGAGAGTAAGATAATCAGTGTGGATCCGAGTGGGCTATCTGGATAGATCGCGTGTGTGCCGCGTTATTATCGCGTGTCTCGATTGTTTCTCGCTTTTTTTTTTTTTTTTTTTTTTTCCTCCCCCTTTTAATTTCCCCCCTCCCCGTTTTCTTTTCCCTCTCCTTTCCCTCCTTTTCTTTCTCCCCTCTTTTTTTCCGAATTAGTCGTCGATTTTTATTCCCATTAATTCGTCCATAAGTTTTACGTACGATTTTTCTTCGATCTTGTGACACGATCAGTTCGAAGAGGTTGGAACGTTGAAGTGCGTTGAAGTTCGCGGCAATTGTGAGCAGGATTGGGAGCAAGTGGAGAATTGGAGCGGAGAATTGGAGTTTGGAGAAGAGAGAAAAGGCGGGAAGAGGAGGAAGAGAGGAGTCTGAATCGGGCTGTGATCGATGATTTCTTACGTGCTGTTCGGTGTGTGCGCGTTCTACGCCTGATCGACGTCCGTACCGGCGCGGTATTCGGTATTAGATAAGGTGAGCCATTTGTTTGTAAATCTCTCTCCCTATTTCGTCCCGCGCGCGGATGCGTTGTGACCGCGTTGGGACATCGTGAACCACGTGAAACGGATCCAGCGAAACGGAAAATCATGGGATATTGACCACGATCCATTTTTTTTCTGTGCTTCTGTGACGTGCGTCCCATCATCCTCGTCATCCTCGAAACGAAACATCGTGTGTTTCCTCCACGAAAATCTTGCTTGCAATTAAACGAAAGAAAAATAGAAGGAAAAGGGGGTAATCGACCGTCGATCTATCCCGTTTCTTCGATCGTCGAATCCCATAACGCCTGATTGTGTTCCTCCGACACCGGAAAGAATCTTCTTAACGTCGATAAACAAGAGGGGATGATCCCACGGCTGAAAGGAGAAAGAGTGAGTGAACGAGTGAGTGAACGATCCAACGATCATCTTCGAGTGTATCATTGTTCGGTCGATTCTTGCGCGTTCGCCAGACCAAGCCACCCTTAATCCGACTTATTGTTAGAAAGCCGTCGGCCGCCGGCTGAAATCTGATTTCTCTCGTTCGCCTCGCATCGGGACCCGTTTACACGAGTGAAGTTTCCACGCTTCTCGTTCGAACGAGTCGGGATAACATCGATTAATCCGCTCCCGAGCCCTCGAATGGAGACAAGTACGACGACTCTCTTTCTCTCACCTTTTCTCGATCGAAGAGGGAAGAAAGATGGAGAGAGACGACGACGACGATCTGAAAGGGAATAAGGTGGATTAGCGAGAAGAGACCCTCGAGAGAGAGAGAAGGGTGGTCGTCGATAGGATCGGTTCACGCACCCGAAAAGGGAACGGGACAAATGAAATTTCCCCGTGGCAAATTGTCCGAGAGCCACGCCGCAGAAATCAGCCCCGTCGATTAACGCGAGGAGGGATCCTCTTAAGACTTGCTAATTTCCTGCCTCTGCGAGATTCGGTTGGATTCGAGAAGGGAGAGGAGGCGATAGGAGGAGAAGGAGGAGGAGGGGTCTGATCCATTAGGGGGTTTCATCTATTCGCCCCTGGAAAACCGCCGAATCGGGACGTGGGCTGCCTTCTCGCTTTCTTTCCACCGATCCCTCGATATACTCGCGTCACGTTCAACCGGGACGATCGTGGAAATGACGCAACAGGCAATGATAGATGAAAGAGAAAGGGTCACGGAATCGGGTAGTTGGAGGTGGTCCAAGGGAACGACGAATTCGCGATCCGATCGAGCGCTTCCCTCGTTCGGTATTCCTTCCACGAACGAATGCGTGGACGAGGAGGAGAAAGAGAGAGCAGTTCCAATGGAGTGGATCTAATCGAACGAATCTTCTCGTTTCTCTCGTTCTTCCGTCGAAATTCAAAGAGTCGAGTGAAAATCTTGCCTTGGTGGTTTTGCGTGGCGAAGACTAAATGGCAGTTTCGATTGTGTTTTATCGAAATCGGTCGGTGCGAGTGGCGAGGGAGGAGGAGATTCTTTTTGAAAAAAGAAAAGAAGGAATCCGCGAAGCGCCTTCGCGACGAGAAAGCGAGATTCGTAGTGGTCGGGACGGGGGCACCGGATCCGCCGGTCACACATCCGATTTCAGCGGATTTAAGCGGAGGAAAGTAGGTTTTGAATATTGATGAAGTAGGGTATGAATATATTCATAAGACTAACAGTTTATTTCTGCAGTCGAGTCGATTCGTTTTTTCCATTGATCAATCGACATCGGTTCGTGGAACCCCTCTGGCAAATTCGTGCCGACGATTAATATTCCTAGGCGTAGCTGGGCCGGCTGCCCTTCTTCCAGCCAGCCAGAAATTCCTACGAATCGAATCGGACGAAGCCTCTCGTAAATTTCTCCTAGTCGTGATCCTAGTGACGTTCGTGTCGAATCCTCTGTCATCGTTCTCCGATTTCTTCGTTATTTATGAGAAGCGTATTTACGTAACTAGATGGACGACTGACACGTTCGTCGTTCGATTCGTATCTTCGAGAGTTGGAGAGTGTTCAGGCAGGGCTTGATCGAACCTTGGCCGGAAAAGGGCCTGCGAATTTGCTCGACAGAGTCGAGATTCCGATCGGTTGGGTCGTGGGTCGAAATAATCGAAATGCTAATTATCCATTTGCATAATTAACGCGAGCGCGATGAAGCGACCTGCGGGGCGCCGTGAGTGGTCCCACATGCCATCGAAGATTAACGGTAGCCCTACAGACCCCACCCTGTTAATGCCCATTTTGAATATTAACTCCTTGGAAATGAGCATCGATTCGCGATATTCACCGACGAATCGCGTCCGACGCTTATGAATTTTCAACGAAATTTCGAAAGGTTGTCCGATACAGTCCGATGTTTGCCCGGTTGAAAATTAATCGTCCACCGTGGAAATCCATTTATATGAAATCTGTCATGAGGTGGACGTAACCTGCTCGTACAACCGAGCCCATCTAATTACACGTTCTTCGTTGCGAAACATTGATAGTTTCTCCTAAATCCACGACAAGCCTGATCTAACGCTCGAGCCTTCGAAAACCCTTCTGAAGAGATTTTTTTTTTTTTTATTTTCTCTAACGAGACTCGATCGAAAAATTGAATAAAAAAAAAAAAAAAAGAATCATTAGTTCGAATAAGAACAGAGTTCTGTATCGAAATATTCGGATTCGAGCATCGTGGTTTATTTTCTCCGAAAGCCTTTTTTCTTCTTCCCGAAGGGACGCCGATTTAACTCTTTGCCTTTGTCTTCGCCTCCAATTAAGATTCTAGAGAGCTTCGCGTGGCGGAGGTCGTTTAAATTCCCATTTTTCCGCTCCTTTAAGGGCGGCGCCACGTAACTCGCACATCGATCGAAGGGAATCGTGCCGCCACACTCCGAGCGTAAATTGACCCGATCGTTTACGGTCAATTTCCGAAAAAAATCTCGCGCCAACCCCCGAGACGTCTGGACACCATAACTTCTTTCGGCTACATTTCCTTCCTCCACGCTCGAAATGACAATCGGGCCAACAATTGGCCCCGTAGATCTTCCTCCTGGCCTTGCCGCGGAAAACCGGCCTCTATCACACTTCGACGTGAGCGTTCGTCGTGCGAGAAGGGATGATAAGTGTTCGGCTGCATATGCGTCAGCCATTTTGTTTGGTTGCTCCCGGTTTAGTTCGATTTCTTTAATTCGTTTCTTAAATCGTCGGATCGAAACTTTCAACTTGGGCAATTGAGCCAATTATTCCAAGCCAAAATTTCGTAGAAATTCCTTACGTAATCTCTTGTTTTATTCGGTTATGATCTAAAAAATCGTGGTCTCGAATTTTTAACTACGTCTAAAAGAATCCAACACTTGTTTAGGTTAGTTGAAAATACGAGAGCAAATAGTTTATTGTTCAAAATATAATCTGAAAAACTTAGCCTCGAATTTTTAACTATTATCCAAAAACATCAGAATCCAAGACTTCTTTCAAGACGATTAGAGTGATAGGCAAAATTTAATAGTTATAAGAGTAAATAATTTATTGTTCGAAACGTAATAACAATCGAAAATAATTGTATTGGCAACGGTTATAATAGCTTTATTCGAAACTTTTAACTTTAAGTTAACTTTTTCAACGCGATCGAAAGAAAATTTCAGGTCTCCGTCAACCACAATTGACCCGTTGAAAAAGTATCTAGTTTGGCATTTACAATTGTTTCCAATTATCATTAAGTTACGAGCAACAAATTATCGAAGCAACTTATCCAAGTAACTTTATTCGTAACTTCGGCTATTAAATTTTCCCCGTCAACAAAAGTCTCGAAGTCCAGATCACTCTCTATCTCTCTCTCGACAATCCTCTTACTCCACAGTAGAAACAATTTAAGAGCACAGCCTCCCTCCCATCAATTTCCAATTTCGCTCTCCAATTGGCTCCTCCTCCTCCTCTATATAGCGCGTTTTCGCTCGCTTTTCGTCCCACGGCGAATCAAACCGCTAGCGCGTCGCAATTAGAAAGCCATTACAAAGCCCGCGTGTACGCAACGAAACGGAGGGCCACGAATTCCCGCGGAGTTGGTGCACACCTTCTGTCCGGGGCTGGATGGATGAGCGGCGATCAGGTGCGTCAGGACCCCCGACCGTCTTTGAGCACGTCCGCATCCTCGTTGACGCGGGGCCCATCATCGCCCGCCCGCTGCCTCAACGTGGAAACGAGAAAGAAGAGACGACGCCGACCACGCGTCGCTGGATCTTCTCGGAAATTGACCGTGAACGATTTACGCCTGCGGAGCTGGTGACGCGTGCGGGACGCTAGACACCCCGCGGAGAGGCCTTCCCTTCCATATTTTTCCCTCCAGCGGCGCGATTTTTCGATTTTTTCAAAGGGCGCGCGTTCAGTTTCGACCAGAAGAAAGAGAATTATTAATTTTTGGACGATTTTTGGACGAGGATTCGAGTCGAGGATCGAGGGAAGGAGAGTTCTTATGCATTTCTATATTTTCCCCTCCAATCCTTCCCTCCAATGGCGTGATTTTTTTATTTTTCTTCGAAAGAATTATTAATTTTTGGACGATTTTTGGACGAGGATTTTAGTCGAGGATCGAGGGAAGGAGAGTTCTTATGCATTTCTATATTTTCCCCTCCAATAGCGTGATTTTTTGATTTTTTTTCGAAGGAATTGCATTTTTGGACGATTTTTGGACGAGGATTCGAGGATCGAGGCAAGGAGAGTTCTTATGTATTTCAATATTTTTCCGCTTTCTTCTAATGGCATGACTTTTTGATTTTTTTTTCGAAGGAATTGTATTTTTGCACGATTTTTGGACGAGGATTCGAGGGAAGAAGAGTTCTTATGCATTTTTATAAAGAAATTCGAAATTGTTCTTCTCTTTTCCTTTGATATTTTTCTGTTTCTCTCCAATGGCGTGATTTTTTTATTTTTTTTCGAAGGAATTGCATTTTTGGACGATTTTTGGACGAGGATTCGAGTCGAGGATCGAGGGAAGGAGAGTTCTTATATATTTCTATATTTTTCCGCTTCCTTCCAATGACGTG